TGAGCATCTTGTTTTACAAACATAAAGTGGCCCCCAGAAGCATTCCAGTCTGCATGCTTCTTCACTCATCTCTAGCAGAAGCTTGCTGGTGAACCATCCACAGAATAAAAATTCCTCCTTCAATTGGATAAGTCACTCAGAGTATATACATACTCCCAGACAACAGGAGTCACCAGGGCTGTACCAGGCATGGATACGTTTTCTCAAATCAGGGTCCACTCAGAGGGCCAGGGATGTTGGAAAGGAAGGGAGGTAGGTGTTCAGGATATGAGTAGTGGCATCTGCTCAGTTTATGATGTGTTCACATAAAAGCACTCCTGTAGGTTCAGATCATTAGTGTGACTGAATGTATTAAACTCCTCCTTCCCAAAATCAGCTGCCAATAAACCAATGAAAAATCTGACCAAATTTTAGGTACTTATCTCTTACAACACAACCTCCATTGTCAATTTGTTCATATCTGTAGTCACGATGTCCTCTGTAGTTAAAAATGGGGACAGTGGTAGTGTTCTCTTTCAAGCCTGGGGTTTGGGAAGAGACATATACCTCTTACATTTGCCTCATAATTGTTCATGTTCTTATATTAAATTTTCCTCTGGGAAAAACAACCTGGAGGTAGAATGTTAGAGTTTAATTCTACGTAGACCCTGGGATATTATATAATGCCATTTGTAACAAATTTTTTCTATGAAATCTACCAGTGGAAAGAAGGAAGGAAAGAGCCTTTTGGTAGAGGATAGGCAAAACAAATTATGGAACTATGTTTATAAGGCATGTATTCATGTAGAGTAATAATAGGCCATAGAATTGTAAGCCTTCAAAGTTGAAATTCCAATTCCCCCTTTGAGATTTTAATACAAATCAAAGGCTTCAGGGAGCTGGGGATTTAGCTCAGCGGCAAAAGCGCCTGCCTGGCAAGCGCAAGGTCGTGAGTTCGGTTCCCGGTACCGTAGAAAAACCAAAAAAAAAAAAAAAAAAAAAAAAAAAAAAAAAAACAAAACAAAGGCTTCAGTTCACAAATGCAGCATAAAAAAAAATTTTCTTTATTTTTAGCTATAACTTAACTTTTGAGATTCTAATACAATGAAAATAACCTCAGGTTTTCAAGATTTCCTGTCCTTTCACATTTATGCCATGGTATTGTGGGGGTGAGGGTGAGAAGGAGATCTCTCTTTAATGTCACAAAATTTGATACCCAGTGATCTAAGCAAGTTGACACTAAGACATCCATCCTTTTTGTCCACCTGCATCTTTAGGTTTGAAGCTTTATCTTTCTTTTATGACACTCTTGAGTTCACCTATGATACCCCTGGCTGCATGGACCCACTAGTAGACCCTGATACACTGGGGATCCATGGCCTGGAGGGTAAGGTGTATACAGGTCCACTTAGTAACTGCACAAGTCTTTGATTTGCTGCTTCCCTGGGATTTGCCTGAGAGGCAGCGTTTGGGCTCATCTATTCAGAAAGTACACATATCTATACTGTCATCACTTTCCTTCTGCTTCTCCTCTCTCCTACTCAATACTAGTGAAGATTTTTCATAGAGGGCAGAGATAGTCCTACCCTCCTCAAACCACTTCAAACCTTTAGATAATTCAGAGTGTCTTCACTTTAGCACTGTTGGTTATTTCAGATCAGAGAATTCCCTGTGGTGGAGGGCTGTTCTGAGCATTACAGAGTGTTTGGTAACACTTTAGCCAACAGCACCTTCAAATTTTTGATAACCATTACCGAAAAACAATCTTGGTAAACCCAAGAGTCTCCTCTGTCCTCCTAAACTTTGATACACAGTATCTAGGAAGACTCACGGCAATTTGCTTTCCTTCCTGACAGTGAATGCCTTGTCTTCTTCCTAAGGCAATTCATGTAAATGGGAGGAGAAAAGATAGAAGAATAGGTGTGCCTGTTAATCTCGATCATTGGATTAGGAAATGCCTAGCAGTTAGTAAAGTGCACAGTGAGTGCGTCTGTGTGAGTCCTGTAGGCGTGGCCGTGAGTATTATACATGGACCACCACCTGTTCTTCTTAGGTACTCTTCCCCTGCTCTTCTTCCTGGCTGCTGTGAATTAGGCAGCCTGCTTAAACTATGCCTTTCTGCCATGATGTCTCTGCCTTGGAACCTGTCAGCGATGTACTGAAATCTCCTGAAACTGTGAGTCAGAAATAAACTTCTCCTCCTTTAAATTGTGGGTGTCAAGTATTTTGTCCCTTACCAATGTACCAGCATACAGTGGATGATGATAACACTATAACAGTGATTATCCCCACCCTCATGGTTGTAAAAATGCAGCTGGTTTATGTCACAATGTGCTGTTTTAGAGTTCTATAGCCAAAAGAAAAATGAATAATGGGAAATAATAGGGGATGGAAAAGCTGACCATGCAATAGGGAATGTAGTTAATACTTAATCATAATTCCACATGTGTCGTTTTCTCACCTCTTCCCTTAAAATACACTCCATATTCATTCTCTCACTTCCTTTGTGTGTATTGCATTAGTGTATGGACTGTAATGAATAAGCATACAAAAAGAAATTGGGGTACAAAGGAGAAAGATGCAGTCATTAAATTCTGATCAACACAGAGGAAAAAAATATTCTTCACATCTAGCACACACTTCTGGAGCCATATTTCTCAGTATTGAACTTCCCTTCCAGGTTTAAAACTCTCCCTCCTTCTAGTGAATTGAAGCAAAGCTTGGGTGTTTGAAGAGGAAGTGGATCAAAGACCTTGTATGTTTATGCCTTTAACCCCTGTAGGAGTCATTCTGAGGAAATCAATAAGAACCAGAAATAACTGTATGGACAGCAAATTTTTCATCACCTTATGTGTAAGAGAGATTTCACCACAGCCCCAGGGGCTGCTTGCTATCTCTTATTTATTCATTCCTTTATCATTCACTCACTTAAATCATAAATAGCCATGAAGGTTTCTAGGTCTTTATTCTACTGACTAACTTATCTGCTAGGGACAAATAAGGAAAAACATGGGCTGGAACCTGAGGCTAGAAAAGAAGGGCTATTTTAGCTTCTGAGACCCCTTGAATACAAAATCTCAGTTAATTTCAATTTATTTTGAAAGCCTTGCATGCAAAAGCCTTTGATGCTGCTATGGGCATTAATACTGATTTCAATTCCTGTTTTCATTTACACATTCCCCTATTATTTCCCATTATTCATTTTTCTTTTGGCTATAGAACTCTAAAACAGCACATTGTGACACAAACCTGCTGCATTTTTACAACCATGAGGGTGGGGATAATCACTGTTATAGTGTTATCATCATCCACTGTATGTTGATACATTGGTAAGCTTCTATAGTGAAGCATTAGCCCTTTCTCTTCACCCAAGCTCAGCGTAAACCAAGCTTTCTTCTCTAAGCAGCTTAGACCTGCTGCCACAGCAGCAGCAGCAGTGTGTGCACAGGTTTAGGTCTGCAAAGAGCTCATCATTATCAATCCAGGGTGGGGCAGTGGCTTTTCTCTCCAAATGAATCAGCTTGAGCTTGAACTCCAGATGTTAATTCAGGGCACCGGGTAGTTAACTTAGGGTTTCCTGTGTAAGGACGGGCCACTTTGGGTTTCTATGTGTGTGCTTAGATACTCTATACATCTGCCCTACTCTTATGTCACTGACATAAGTAAATTAATTATTGCATTTATGCTTGGAAATGGCTTGTAAGTTTGCTGCAAATTTGAACATTCTTTTAATATCCTTTAACTAAATTCTCTGGTTTACATTTTCTCTCTTCGGGGATTTAAACAATCCGTTGGCATTATGTCTTGCCCCAATGTACCATCATTATGAATATTAATTATTGCTGGAAACATCAACTAACGAAGTGTTCCAAATAACATTCCAAACAAATTTCTTGATCACCTTCCCTAAGAATGTAGTATGTAAGGGTTAACGATGTACTCTGTTCTGCATCAGAACTTGTGTGAAACAGATCATTTAATCCTCATAACTGCCTATGAGCTGTCTGGTTGTCTCATTTGGATTTCTCTGAAAACAGAGCTTGAGACAAGGGCTTTGATTAGGTAATGCATTTGGAAGATGATCCCTGAGGCCATGAATAAGGCTAGACAAGGCAAAAAGAAAGGTCAATACAAGAACTTGTTATTTAGGTACCATGGTCAGCAACAGAGTCTCAATTCTGCTTGACCTCTTGAGAACAGGACAGATGTCTCTCAGAATCATTCAGTAGGAGGGCAGAAGCTGGGTCCCTATCCACCAGTTCTCATGTCCCACATGCATTAATCTCAGAGGTAGGGGCTCTCCCAGGGCAGAAAGCAGAGAAACTAGGTCTTGATTGCTCACAAGGAAGTGAGTGGATACAGTCAGAAAAGCGCCATGCAGATGTGGCTAAAATCAGATCAGAGATGAATGAGTCAGGGCGCCAGCAACTTCTGTCGTGACCGCTGTCCTCTGTGCTACCCCATTTTACAGAGAAGAAACCAAGGTATATGGCAGTCACTCACCTGGTCAAGGTCACAAAGTCAGTTAGTAATGGAGACGGGATTTAAACAGGGACAGTCCGATTTAAACAAGAGGCCAGACCCCTCACTGCTGTACTGCTGACCATCCCACCTGAGTGGCAAGAGGGCCTTGCACCACTCTGCCTTGTGCAGCTCCCCCTAGAGGTTTGGGCAGTCCATCCACCAACTCAAGGTACAGTCCATCTTAGCAACATTTGCTCACATCCTGCATCTTCTCTTTTGGGAATTAGTTTTCTTCCCATTCCAACAACCCAGGAAAATAGCAGTACAACACTGCATCTGCATTTATAGGAGAAAACTGAATATTTTTCATTGAGATTGTGAAGGAAGAGAGAGGTTGAGATTGCATATCAGTTGAGAAAGAAAAAACATAGCTCATATAACTTTTTAACTGCTTTTACATTTTTTATTAAAATGTTGTTCTTTGAAGAGTATAGAAATACATCTGTTGGAAGTCACCCATCTGCTTCAAACGTACATAAGAAATATACCCAACCAAATTTGGCTTCATCAGAATTTATTTAGTTACACATACATACATATATACATACATTGTCAGGACAACACCAAAATGGCTACATTTGACAGGCTGGATAAAATTTTCTGGCTGTTTTTCTCCTTGATAAAGTTGCAACAATTATGAAAGCTTTGAAAGATAGGCTTGAAGGGCCACAGCATGAACTCCTAGGGCCAGAAGTGACAGATGGCATGCACACAGGGTCTAGGAGGCAGCTGAGCCTCAAGAGAGGTGCTGGTCCCCTGTTTCTGCTGTGAGCAAACTACACTGCAAGGCGACAAACACAGAGAGGAAGGTACTCCCACTTGGGGGGTAGGGTCTTTGGGCTCATAACCAGGAGTCTCAAGACACCATACTCAAGAGAAGGAAAAGGGAACTCCCCACTTACGGGCTGAGCTTCCTGCAAGGGACAAGGGGCCAGCACAGCTAAAGGAGGAAATGTGTTAGGATCACTGCCTTTGGCATGTGGTAATCTGCCTATGAGGACATCTACTTCCTTTCAAGCTTGCTCAAGGGACCGATGGACTCCCCAGAGGTACCATTAAAAAGAACAAAACACCCTAGAGCAATGGCTGCAAACCTATAGCATGTGTGCCACAGCTGTTTGCTATCACTGAAAGCTCTACAAGGTTCGCCATCACTACCCTAAAAAAAAAAAAAAAAAACAGGCTGGCACTTGCTTTGCCCTCAGTAAGAATGAAATTCAGCCTGATGAGACCAATTCCAGAGCAGACTCAAGCCACATGTGGGAGCCAACCCCGGGACCAGGGAGCTGAGGACACTGCCCTCTCTCCTCTATATACTCTGGAAGAAGGAAATGAAGAACTCTCTGGGCTGAGTGTTGCCTGGACAGTTTACAGTGATTCCATCTTCTTGCTCTGTCCATCTTAGTCTATGAGAACCCAAGTTGGACCACGCTAAACATGAGACAGGGCACCTGGCCATTCTGACTCTTGCCAGTCTTTTGGATAGAATCACCTTTCCTAATCAGGTAACTTAGCAATCTAGTCCAACAGACTCAGCTCTTGCTAACTTTGCATTTCTAACCACCTTATAATTCCAAAAACTTATGTAAGGTGGTTTTTCCAATATATTTTACTCATACAGATTGTTACATAGCATCTTTCATGTGAGATCAGGTGGAGAAGACCACAGTGCCATGAGCATTTCTCGCACTTTCTTCCACACCTCTAAACTTTTTGTTTGTTTAGAAAACATAGTTCAAGGAACGGATCACAGTGAAGTGTCACAGTGTTTCCCATCTGACACTGAGCATGACTGGAGGTTCAGATGCTCTTTCTAGGGCTTTGGGGAGGCCCAGAGAATGTCAGGATAGTCAAGGACAAGTCTCCCTTAGCCCTGGGCATATCCATCACCATGCTGGCCACACAGAGTGAAATGGTTATTCCTTACTCCTATTCCAGTATAAAGAATGCCAGGTAGCAGGGAAATAAAAGTCATCACGGTTGGGGCTTCCAGAGAAATGCTGTCCAATCCCATTACCCTATCTTCCAAATATAAAAGGTTCTTCTGTTTCTTATATTTGTTACTCGACTAAGCATCTTCTTTTTTGGCCACTCCACACCATAATTATCTTGGACTTCCCTTACAGCAGTGGCCTCCACCCCATCTTTTTTGGCCCAAGGGTCCTGTTTTGTGGAAGATAATTTTTCCACACACAAGAGTGGGAGAGGTGGGGTATGGGATGATTTAGAGGAGTGCAAAACCAAGGCGGAGCTGTGCAGTTCACAGTAGGCTCACACTCCCGGAGGCACAGCCCAGGGGTGATGCCCACAGTGGAGAGGAGCTATAAATACCGATGAAGCTTTGCCCATCTACTGCTGTACATCTTAGCTCCCAACAGGCCACAGACTGGTCCCACTTGGACACCATACCCTTAGAGGATCTCTACTCCCTTTAAAATCATGGACCTCTTTTCTTTGTGTGTTTCTGCTGTCCCCAGGAAAATTATGAATCCCCAGAAAATGCACATGGAACACCTATCCTGAGACCTGCTCCAAAGTGCCCAGCTTTCATCCCTCAGAGAAGAATGTGGACTTCACTAAGCACACAAGCACTGAGCTAAATATAGACACTCCCACAATAATAAGGATATTTGATTTTACCTAAACTTCTCTTTCATTCAAAAGCATTTGTTCCATGTAGGAAGAAACACCCTACAGTGAGTTGCAATGAAATCACACATCTCAGATGGCCAGAGTGAAGGAAGGCAGGAATATAGAAGCTCCCTGTTGCTTCTAGAAATTTACAGTCCTTGCTAGGAATCCACCTTTGGGAAGATGCTCACTTTGTTGTTTCTGCTCATCTTCCGCTCCACCCTGCCCTTGGGCACCTTTGTCTGGATCAGTTCTTCTGGCGTATTGCCCAAGGGTGGAAGCAGCCTCTTCTTGCTGTTTCGGGTCTCTGACAACCACTGCGGGGGCAACTCGAAAGGCCCAAAGCCAAATTGCAAGGAATACTTGTCAGGCAGTGTGTCAGGCTCCACAGGGCCTGCTGGTGCTACCTGGGATATAGAGTCCACTGTACCTGGTACCTGAGGTGCCACCTGCTCTCCCTCCAGGCAGGTGGTAAATACCTCCTTGGCCTGGAAGCCAGCAGAGCCAAGATACTTGGCTTCATTCTCTTCCTCATCCTCTGTGGGCTTAAAGATCTGCTGCTGGCCAATGTGGAACATCTCCAGAAGCTGGCTGCCTGAGCGCATGCTAGGTTCCAGGCTGGCATCGGCGATCGCACTCCCTGTGCTAACCACATTACGCCGACTGTACCGATGGTGCAGCTGCACCAGAGTCCCTACCAAGCACTTGCGGACAGATTTGTTCACAGTTAAAAAGAGCACAGGGTTTGCCAGCAGAGAGACCTTGGGCAGCCAAATGGCAGTGAGCAGCAAGAAGACGGAGGTGTTGGGGACATTGAGCACAGTCTGGTAGACGACCAGGGTGGCATAGGGCACACTACACAGGATAAAAACCATTACCATCGAAAGCAGGGTGGCATGCAGCTCAGCCTCCCGCTGGGAGGCATAGGGAATAGAGATGGTGTTCTGAGGTGTCCGGAGCGCTGCAATGATGACCTTCTTCTTCTGGCTGGCACTCAGAGCCCGGCGGATCAGGATCAGGAAGAGAAACGCCACAGCCACAGGCACAATGACTGTGGTGATGTTATAGACCAGGACGTACACCAGGTGGCCCAAGGAGTTGCTCCAGACTTCTGTGCACGTGGACATGGCATAGATGTCAGCCACATTGGTCACTGCAAACACAGGGACACTGGCCACCACTGCATGGGCCCAGATGTACACCACCAGTTCCCGGGACTTGGCATCAGATATTTTTCTCTCCAGTGGATAGAGGACTGAGTAGTACCTGCATGACATACGAAAGAAATTGATTTCTCAAAGGATACTCTGTGAAGTTAGGGGACTCTAACTCACCAGAAGTGGGTGAGAGGGTGAAAGAGACAGGTTCTTTTATTTGGTCTAAGATAGGGAAGCACTGGGGGAATCTAGGAAGCCAGATTTTAAATTTTGAGGACTCTGGTATGCAATGAGAAGTAGCACTAGACACACACACACACACACACACACACACACACACACACACATACATTCTAAAGGAGCAGAGAAGTCTTTTCTTCATGTGACCCTGACAATTCTCTGAGGAAAGCAAGTAAATAAATTCAATTTATAGCTAGCCTTATAACTACTACCACCAGAGTTAAATCCTAAAGTGGCCTCAAAATAAAGGATGTCTTCACCTGCTATAAAGGTATCTATTTTTTAACTTAAAGGTAACTTGTAAACATTTTGCATGGAGTAGAGAAGCGTTAGGAAAATTTTCAGAAACACTCCAAGGCACTAGCAGAAACTTGCACACACACATATCCCAAGCAGATCCACACCACAGTCTATAAATTGGATGTTGTTAGCATTTCAAGCTGCTCAGGGCAGAACCCCAAATGAAAGATGGATCCCAAAAAGGTCCCACTAACAAATATTCTGGATCAACAGCCATTGTTCTCACGGTAACTCTAAAAGAAGTTAGTAAGTCTAAAATGCCTGCATAATTAAATTTTTATTAAAATCAGATGAGACATTAGTCCCTTCCAACCTTTAACTTGATCATTCTATAGCCCCCTAAACAGAATCCCAAGAGCACTTTACCTTAATATCACCAGTGATTTGGGGGAACCAAATAACTCTGCAGACCCAAGAACCACATTTATCATGAAGGGCCGCCACCAGCCATCAGCCATATGGTGAGTTCCTTCATATAAGCTTGGCCCCCATCTCTGCTATTAGCTAATGCTGGAGCTGACTTCCCAATCATGGTAACCATCACTCACTCGTGGGGCCAGGAAAACATATATAACCAGTGTTCTTGACCACCACCTCTGTATCCGTCTGGTGCTAGGCCCAGGGTTACACACATGCAATGATACACTGAGGTGTCACTATACTCAATGGAAAGAAAGGCATGCACATCAACTATTATCAACAAGGAGATGATGGCACTGCTGGACGCAGGAGCAGAACAAGCGGCACCTAAAGCTACCTGTGAAGACGCCAAAGAGAAAGCAGCACCATGGTGGGGGCTGGCTGCCCTTTCAGTAGGGAGGATAAAATCCTAAAGTGACATAGATGTGATGCAAGCACAACAGTGGCCATGGGTGATCCAGGGAGGACAGAACATGGTGAAATGTGATCTACATTTCTTTCTGGGAAGGAAAAACAGCGAGTCATGCATAAATGATGCGTGCCGTCATTGTCTCTGAATATGTCAATTAATTTCTAATCACAGGTCTATAAATATGTGATGGCCCCATCCACACACATGAGTACATGCCTAAGAGTCTGCTGGCTCTGGTTATCATCTATCTGCTCACTTGCATGCAACACACCCATGTCCCCTCAATCTTCCAACCCATTATGTATTAGGAAATAGACACAAGAACACAGGCTCTCTATAAATAATTTTCCGTGTGTAAATGTCTAGAAGATGATGCAGGAAGTGTGGGAACCACTTAACTGGCTAACTCGGTGCTGTGAAGCAAATAGCTGCTATCAAAGGGAAAGGCTGTTTCCCCTTCATCCTCATGAGTATCATACTGATACCTGCAAATAATCTGTATCTCGGAATAAGAAGAATTTGTCAGTCTTATTTTTCTACTAAAAGGACTTGTTTATCTCTTGGGTTAATGATGATGACAATGCAGAAGAAAATAAAAATATCTTATTTGCATATTTCCTTGTCTAGGATCAAGGGCCCAGATATAACCCACAAGGATTATTACATTGCTTCCAGGTATGATGGCAAAATGTTCAGAATAATATATTCCTACTCTTGCTAAAATCTTATTTTAAAAAAACTTTCAGGATTCATAGCAGCATTATTCACAACAGCTAAAAAATGAAAACAAATGTCTATTAATTGGTAAATGGATAAAGAAAATGTGAGGCATCCTCCAATGAAATATTACTGGCCATAAAATGAATGAAGTGCTCATACATGCTGTAGCGTGGATGAACCTTGAAAACAGGCTAAACAAAGGAAGGCACACACAAAAGAGCACAGACTGCATAATTCTGCTTACATGAAATGTCCACAAAAGGGCAAATGTATAGAGACAGAAAGTAGATTAGTGGTTGTCAAAGTCTCAAGATGGAAATGAGGAGCAACTGTAGGAGATGAAAATTAAAACTAGGTTGTAGTTCTGACTATACATCTCTACAAATCTACTAAATTTCACTGATTTGTACCCTAAAACTAGTTGAGTTTTATTAATATACAAATTATATCTCAAAACTATTTGTTTCAAAACTTCCAGGAAAGGAGAGTTCAGTATGTAAAAGTCTGAAAGCCTTATGGCTTCTCCAATTCTGGATGCCTCATTGCTGGATACAGGGCTAGCTACTACAGAGGCTGAAGCAGGAGGATCGCTTGAGTCCAGGAGTTCAAAGCCAGTCGGTAACATAGCAGGATTCTATCTTGGCAATAAAAATAAAAAGGCTTCATGACAGCAAGTTGTAAGGGACAGTCAGAAGGGAAACCATGAACACAGGTGACAGCACACAAAATGCATTACAGCACCCACCAAAATGTAAACTTGAGGCAAAGACTCTGCATTCCAAATTATAAATGATGGTAACAACTCAAATATATGATTAATTTCCAAATAAACATCATTTTAAAGATGGATAGAGAAAACAACCACAACAAGATGAGGCCTTGGAAATAAATCTTCCAGAGGAATTTGCATGTTCTCTGCTTGGTCCAGCTGGGTCATCTAATCATTAGTTAAATGACTATTGAATTATTCCCTTGTTCTACCGGAAATGTTTTCATGTTGTAGCAAAAAAATCCTAATTGCGGAGTTATAAATCAGATGAGCAATCTACTTCTAATCACAGTGTAATGCCAATTCCAACCAAGCTGAAGCAACAGCATGATCCAATAGCTTGACTTCAGCACTGTCACAGTATAACTCTCCCTAAGTCTTTTCTCAGGGGTCTTATTTTCCACAACTGTATTTAAGTCACTCCATCCCTTATGAGCCCTTTTTTTGGAGACAGGGTCTCACTATATAGTTCAGGCTGACCTTGAACTCATTATGTAGCTCAGGCTGGTCTTGAACTTGCAGCAATCCTCCTGTGTTTTGAACATTCATTCTCTTTCTGTTGACCACAACAAATTAAATATCATTCTCTTTCTGTTGACCACAGCAAATTAAATATCAGCCTATGAAACACTAATAGTTCATTTGTTTCACAAGGCTCATGTTTCAACAACACTTACACACATTAAGCCCCTGGCTAATAGATCTCACCTGTCCAAAGCAATGGCAGGGAAGCTGAGGATCGTCACAGAGCAGAAGACTTTGTGCAAAAATTTGACAACTTTGCAGAAGAGCATGGTGTAGATCCACCAGCAGCAGTGAGGACTGGTGCTGAGGACGATGTCGAAGGGCACACAGACCAAGCTGGCAAAAATCCCCGAGCAGGCCAGGTTTTTAATGAACCTGTTGGTGACAGATTTGAACACAGTTGTGCGGCAAGTTGACCATAACACCATGAAGTTTCCTGGCCAGACATGCAAAGAAATGAAACAAAATTAAAAATTTAAAGAAAAAGGAAAAAGGGAAAGAAAAAAATACAGGTTGAAATCTTTTAAAAATATATTTGAGAGTTGACTTCAACATACTGTGTTTCAATTAACATGAAAAAGTCTAGAAGAAATTGCAGAGGGAGTTATACAATTTAATTTTAGGTAAAATAGTATTATTACATGATGGTTCAGTATCACGGATGTAGAAACAATTGACCAGGTATTATTTAAGCTTAGGCAGTCTGCTCTTATCAAGTTTGGTAATGAATTCTGTGCTGCCAAACTGCAACAGAAATGCAATGTAAATCACACATATAATTTTAAATTTTCTAGTAACTATATTTTTATAAAGTCAAAAGAAGCAAGTGAATTTTTTAACCTTGTCAAGTCCTAAGTAAATTTCAACATGTGATCATTACTTAAAATCCTCAATATTTTCCATTTTCTTTTATACTAAATCTTCAAAATCCAGTGCATAATTTTTGTTTCGACACTAACAGCACATCTCAGTTTCAACTAGGTACATTTCCAGTGCTCAGTGGCCACAGGCAGCTAGTGGCTACCGTACTGCACAGCAATAGGCTTTTCAGCACCAGTAACAGTCAATCATTTCTCTGTGCACATTCTCCCCTGTGCCTTCCACAAGCCTAAGATCTCCCGGTTTTCTGTCTACCCTCCCCTCACCATTAGACCCTGGGAACTGTCTTCTTTTTCTAGGCTCTTCTCAGTCCTCTCTCTACAGGCTTTTCCTAGGTTACATTACCCATTCAGACGGCTTTCCACCAAAAAGTCATGTCCTAAAGGAGGCCCCTTCTCTCAACTCCAGACTCCTTTTTCCAACCAAACTTCTGATTCCCTACCCCCTCCCCATCAATTATGCTCGCATGGTCCCTAAAGGCCATGATCTGGTGCCTCCCCGGCTCATCTCATGCCCGTCTTCCCCTGGCTTGCAGGTACACCAGTCACTTTTGCCTTTTTTTCTGCTCTTGAAACATATCAAGGGTTATCCAACCTCGGTGCCTTTTAACAAGTTTTTTTATACTGCCTAGCCTGTTCTTCACACGTCTAGCTCACTTTAATCCAGGTCTTTGTTTAAATGCTGCTTCCTCTAAAATATCTTCTTGAGCATTTTTTTATTTTAAATACTCACTGCTCCTCCCTCCATTACACTCACTGTAGTATCTTATGGTGTTGTCCTTGGAAATTTTTATCATAAACTCTAAACTTGTTTCCTTGCTGTCTCTCCATTCATGAGGACTAAAATATGTTAATCTTATTCACTGTTACAATTTCACACTCAGCTCAGTATCTAGCACAGAGTAGGTATCCAGTAAGTATTTATTGAACTAATTAATCGATACAAACGGTGATCAGAAGTCCCTGAAGTAAGACAAGCCCTTTTGTAATACATGTATCAGTTACTCAGTACATCACAGGCTACACTCTGCACCAGAATGACAGACAGAATCACAGCTACTAAGTATGGCACCAGGAACACGCAGCTGTTAAAGTACCCAGCACAGTTGGCCCTAGTTTTCAAGTTTTGGAAATGCAACTTCTAGACACACACACACACACACACACACACACACACACACACACACCCTGCCCCAGGTCTCTCAGGACTCAGTCCCCAGGTATGCAAGCAGCCTGCTTTTCCTGGTGAGAGTGTAGTCTACTGGCTGCTCCCTCCCGTACATGCCCTGAGACAATGCCTTCTGATGAATGCAGCTGACAGCGGAGCCAGGGTCTGAAGAGGAGTGGGGGTGCCAAGCAGGGCACAGCAGGGCTCAGGGCTGCAGAGGAGGTCATCATCAGGAACTACCTCGACCCCTCAATATCCATCGCTGCCCCTTATCTCCCAGGCAAAGAATGAAAACCAGCCACTGAACCTAGGTGTGCAGGCCAGTGCTTCCAGGAAAAGCTCTACCAAACTTTATATTAGCATAACGACTTGGCGAGACGAACTTGCAGCACATATACATACACACATTGATTCATAATTGTTCAGGGTAAGAGTTGTTTACCACCTGTCACCGGCGTAATAAACAGAACAATAATACTGTTATGTGAAGCTCCACTGATTTGAGATGTTTTAATGGCTCTTCTCCATTGAAGTACAGATGAGGGTGTGATTAAAGCATCTTTCATCACTTTAAACTTTACAGAGAGGGTTTAAAATCTGGCAACTCTCTATTAATGCAATAGCCCACTTGAAGAAATCTGCCAAGAGAGAGTGTGTACGCCAGAGTTTTCACAGTCTGGGGTATCTCCAGGTGGCAGAGACGCTAAATAAATGAGCTGTTTCCTTCATAGAAGTCAAAACCCTTAGGGTTTTCTCTTCTCTTCTCTCCTCATAGTTAATCTTTACACTTTGGCAGGTTATACTGAGTAAAACTTCTTGAATAACAAAACAAGCAGGAAAATTCACGGCAAAGGGCACGCTATGGGCCAGGGGTCTCTCTCATCTTTTGAAATCTAACTGAAACTCATCTGCAGCGTTACTCTCACATTCTACTTTCCCATCCACCTTCCTCCCTCCATTTTATGCCAGGCATGCTTTTTTCGTGTGTTTTCTAAGACGTGCTTTAGCTGTGTATATAACAACAATTTGAGCTCAAAGTATTCTGGCTGTGGGAAAGAGGACCTCATATACTGGCAATGTATCTTAGGAATTGTACTGGCAATATAATGAACACTGTATTAGTATGTCCACATTTGTGAATGAGGAAACTTGTTCTGTTTTTTATTTATTTCTTTTTAAGACAGGCAGGCTGCCACATGCAGTGCTGCTTTTGGAGTCTTGGAAGCTGGACTACCCTACAGTCTCCTACAAATGGCCCTTGAGGGCTTCTTAGGAGGACTTAGCAGGGGAGTTCAGCTCCTTCCATCCCTTTGGTGGAAGACTGGTCCTCCTCTGCTAGGGCAAATCACCCTCTCCCACTGAGCACACAGCTTCAGAAGAACATACAAGAAGAGAACAGCGAGGGAGGAGGAACTCTCCTAGTCTACCAGATCAGCCAAGTTAACCTCACTGATCAATGAGGTGACAGAGGCAAGGCCAGATCACCCTCACATCCAGGAAACTTGTTTTCAATGAATTATTATGGAAAAATATAAAATCTGAAAGTGCTATAATTACTTTTTTAAGGGAAGTGTTGAGGATTGAACCCAGACGCTCTGCACTGAGCTACATCTCTGGCCCACCTTCCTAACTTTTTTTTAAGTTTCGAGACAGAGTCTTGTTAACCTGCCCAAACTAAGCTTTAACTTGTAATCCTCCTGCCTCAGCCTCTGAGAATGCATGGATTTTAGGTGTGTGCCATCATACCCAGCTTATAATTACATTTTACCTCTAAAACTCTAAGCAATATCTGGGAACTACCCTCTTCTGCTATTAAGAATCTAATGTTAAAGAAGCCCTTCCATCTTTTAAACCACTGTTCTCTCTCATTCAAAACTAACTCATTTAGCTCTAACCTGAACTGGATTAAAATACGTCGAGAGGAGTGTCCGCATCTGATTCTCGTAGGCCACAACTGATCCTTATTGGCTGCAGTTTTAAACAATGTACACACTCAATTAACAACAAACCACAGATCGCACTTGACTGTTAATGAGGAACACAACAGTCATTTTTTTCCAATTAAATTTTGCCTGTGTCAAATTCAGCCTGTCGTTATCCTTTTAAATTGATTTATAAGCTTTGCATCTTTAAGAGCAAAAATTCTGATGTATTAAAAAGACTAATAACCAAAATGAAAAAGATACTCCAAAAGAGCCATGGGAAATGAAAACCCTCCTACGAAAAGAGATACAACACCCTTTAAAAAGTACTAGCTTTCCCAGAGACTTAACGGAGGAAAACTATCCACAGCCTTGCCTCCACAGAAAGATAACACATCACCAAGAACATTCTAAAAATTGCAACTTGAAGAAAGGCGGGTGCAAATTGGAGGTGAAATTTAATTCTGAGAAAAAGTCTAGCAAGATGGACTTCTGCGACAGAGGCCTGAGTGAATGGACAAAGTCAGAGGACTTCAAAGGAACTTGGCACACACAGGGGGCATCACAAGACACAAGAGGAGCATACAAGCAGGTTAGAAAATACTAACCCATAAGAGAAGAAGGAAGGAACAGAGTTGGGGTAGAATGGATTTTTAAATGTCTTTTTTGCTTCGGTTTGTAGTTATTTTAAAAAAAAAAAAGAAGAAGAAGAAGAAGAAAGCAACCAGAAGCAGAGTCTCCTGAGTTATAAGAATTACGTGAGGGGATGGTAGAAAATACTTTCAATTAATCTTCCAAATAAGAGCAGGAATGACCTTTCACCTATGTGTTTATGTTTAATGTGGCTTTCTTATAGACAGCATGTTATTGGCTCCTACTCTCAACTGATCTGACAGTATCTTAGCATTTACATTTAATGTAATTTTTGATATGGTTGGATTCACACCTACCGTCTTTTTTCCTATTTGTCTTGTCTGTTCTTTGTTCCTTTTTTCCTCTTCATCTTCCTGACTGATATTTGAGTATTTTATATAACTCCATTTTATCTCCACTACTGCCTTATTACTTATACTTTGCTTTCAATTTTTTGTAGCTGCCCTACGTTTGCTATATACATCTTTAATGACAGTACTTTCAAATACTATTATACTGCTTTATGTGTAGTGTAAGACTCTCACAACAGCATATTCCTAATTCTTGTCTCCTAACGTTCATATCTTTGTTGTCATATATTTTGCTTTTTTTTTTTTGCAGTGGGAAGGATGGAGCCCAGAGCCTCCAATGTACTAGCAAGTGTTCTTACCACACAGCTACATCCCCCGCCTCACATTTTAGTTTTACATAAACAGTACACCCAAAATTCATTGCTACAATTTCTGCCTTCAGAAATTGAAATTTTAGCGCTTAATTAAATTTCAGAAAAATTCTCTTAACATTCCTTGTAGTGTTGGTCTGCTAGTAATTAATT